TGGGGAGATCAAAAGTTAAATATCTTATAACTGTTAAAATCTGACGGTCACTCGATTCAATGTAAATTTGACGCTATAAAAATTTGTAAGGTGATCGATTATTATTCTATTAAGCGATTTACTATGTAACACTTGATTTGAAACCATTGCGCTCTGATATATATTTTTATGTTTCTAAAATGCCCCTCGTTTCATCATTAATGCCTCTACATAATTCACAAATCGCAAAATGTAGTTCGCAAATATTAATCGTAGAATGACGATTATCGCATGCAAACACAGATGAAAACCAACTGTAATGAAAAAACAAACGCAAATCTTCATTTTGCGAACTACGTTTTACGATTTGCAAATTACACCCAGAGAAAGATTTTTTCGATTTAAAGAAATGTTTCTTTGCTACGGTTAAAGAAAAAAATTCTTTGATTTAAGCATTATTTTTTGAAATCAAATAAAAAATTTATTTGATTTAAAAAAATTATATTCAAATCAAAGAAATTTTTTTTTTTAACCGTATATAGCAAAGAAATATTTCTTTAAATCGAAGAAACCTTTCTCTGGGTGTATATAGTATAAGTACCTTTATACTTTAATATTGATTTTAGGCTACATTTAACAAATAAAAATTAAAATGTTTTATGTAATTTAATTATTACGTTTAAATGCACGATTGCTACTTTCACGTTAATAAAGTAGGAATTAGAACGCTAAATTTAGCGCTAAATGTGTGGTGAGCGTACAAATTGGAATGTGTGTCTCAATATGGCAGCTACATACGTTAAAATTTATAATTTTTGTAAAAAATGTGTTACAAGGGGTGTCTCACCTTTCGGGATGTTTTTTCCCATTGCCTTTCACTTTTCAGGATTCTTTTTTACAGAGAAAAGCCATATTGAGATCGCCATTTTGAATTTTATATCTTTAATCATATTTAAAATCATTGATCCAAAAATCGGAAATTTGAATTCTGTGATGACAATAATTTTTAAAGTTTACTCATTTTGATAAAAAATAAAAAAAATGTTCATTCTGGATGCCATATTAGATCAGCCATTTTGAATTTCATACTTTTGACGTAAGATTTAGTTTCAGCGACCCCAAAATCCCCTAATACATTTTATTTTTTAAAATTTCAACTTATTTCACTTAATATGTTAAATCTATCCCTTATATCTTTAAGTTTTTATCCTTCGAGTGGACCACGGCCAATAAAAAAAAATACATGTCAAATATTTTTCAAAGTTCTACAAATATACAAAGTTTCATTAAAAGCGGTGAATGACACCTCCATAAATTTATTTGTTAAAGAAAAGATTGCTTCGATTTAAAAATGTTTCTTTGCTATACGGTTAAAGAAAAAATTTCTTTAATTTGTAAAAAAGTTTCTTCGATTTATATGTTATTTTTTTAAATCAAATAAATTTGACTTATTTATTTCAAAAAATAAAATTTATTTGATTTAAACAAAATAACGTTTAAATCAAAGACATTTTTTTTACAAATCAAAGAAATTTTTTTCAACAAAGAAATATTTCTTTAAATCGAAGCAACCTTTTCTCTTTCAAGAAATAAAATTTATTTGATTTAAAAAAATATCGTTTAAATCAAACAAATTTTTTCTTTAACCATATAGCAAAGAAACATTTCTTTAAATCGAAGCAACCTTTTCTCTGGATGCAAACTTTACGATATCACATAAACGTTTCGCGCTGGAGAAAATCCTATTCGGCGCGAATCACTCCGTCATTATATCGATTGTCAGCTCGATAATATCGACAGTGAGAGGCAAATAGATAATCACTGTGACGGCGAATATAGCCCCCGTTCGATTAAATTAAATTAACGTGAAATTGTCAGACGAAAACGACTCCCTCTCGCGCGGCGAGGGCGATGTTAAATATAGCCGTGAATCGGTTAACGTCAAGCGCTCATGGAAAATGAGATCGCTGAACCCACCACCATGTCGTCGTCGTCGTCGTCGTCGTCGTCGCGGCGAGGCAGTCTATATATGGAGTACCGGGACAGTATAACGAACTAATTACAACGTATCGTGTGTGCGAATCCAGAGACATGGGCATTTCGGCGAGATCTCGTGAATATTCAACGCGCCGGGCATTAAGTTAGCCGACGATCCGACGTAAACTATATACGTTCTCGGCTATCCGAGGAAAGCTTTTCATCCCGGCTCTTTCATCCTGGAGAATCAATTCTCATTCATGAGCAGCCAATCCACGATACATACAAAATGGTCCATTAATTTACAAGAGGATATTGTATGTTAAACTGATCTAACAAATGAAACAGAGATAAAAGTTACGTAATCGAATCCAATTTCATAAGGAAACACCTTTTTGATATAAAACTCATGTAACTTTTTTCTTCTTTAAACATTTATAAAGGATCTGTTAGAACTGTTCAAAATCAATTCGAAATAAAAATTTTTCTGAAATATGTTATTAAACACAAAAATATAGAGGCCCGTATTTTTTTATATCCGACCTTTTTGAGATTTAACGAAACAACTCTTTAAAATTAATGTTTACATTTAATTCTAATTAATTACAAACGAAACAGTGAGATGTGTGACAAAAAAAACGTTACGATCAAAACCAGAAATAATGATGAATTTTCGCCCATCCATACATTTGATTATGATAACTGTAAGATGGATATATCTTAAAAGTCACTATTAAGATATCGTACAGTTATCACAATTGTATTATAATTCTTATGAAAAAAATGTTTTGATGAGTGATTTTTGGTCGAACATTTGGCAACTGTAGCCATTTATTCCAGACAAAACTTTATTAGACAAAACTTTTATAACTTTTATATACTTTACAATTACATAATTTTTCAAAAATTTAATATTTTGAAAATATCTATCATCATTAAGTTTAGAGGATTTGTTTCATATCTCAAATCTCAAATTAGGTATAAAAAAATACGTGTCTCTTAGATTTTTGTGTTTAATAACATTGAATGGGACAAATATGATACAGATCCTTCGTTAAAGATACCTGATTTTGACAGCAAAATACATATCTTTGAAAAGATATTTAATGTTCAATGATATTTAAAATGTGATATGTTTTGATTGCACAAAATCTTCTTCAGTTCATAATCTGATTGATAATATTAACACTTGTTGGCACTCAGGTGCGAATTCGCAGCATTTTTTTTATATATTATGTAGATCTAATCCTAAAACAAATTCTATATTCATGGCCAGGTTATCACTTGTCCGTAGAAAAAAAGTTAAGACTCACTACTGTACTTCCCATATATAAAAATCTTTAATATCCTCCATACATCTTATAAAGTACTATCCTCCTTTTTCGAAATGCATTTTAAAGTTTTAAATTCCGATAATTAAAAAAATGACGATCATTTAAGGTGGTTCTTTAGTAAATCGAGTTACCATAGATATGTCTAATTTTTTTATATAATGAAGTTGAAGTACCGAAATTGATGTGTGCAAAATTCTACGGTAGGTTATGGATAAAATAAGAGAAAAAAAATATTAAAATTGAAACGTATAACTTTTCACGTATAACTTAATGACAGATAAGGCTCGCAGACGCTTCTTTGATTAATTGCACACAAATCTTACCATAGACGTTCCCCTCAAAAATGAGATTATAACAGTAAAAAATTACGATTTTAATGGTCAAAAAAAAGTAATAGGTTTATCGGTCATTCTGAAAAGATATTTAATATTGAAATGGTAAAATATCGAGTGAAATGTAATGGCAATATATGACAAATAAATCTGGCAACATCGCTAGAAAATATTTGATATTGTAAAAAAAGAATTTATATTCATAATTAACTTATTGTTATATTTACATGTATAAACTTGCATACAAATTTAATCTCGAAAAGTAAATATAACTTCATCTTATTTGGTGAAGATGTAGTTCTTGAGAGAGAGAGAGAGAGAGAAAGATTTCATTGCCAACTTGAACAATATCTCAATTTTCTTTTTTATAAATTTTTCTTTATAAAAACCTCGCTTGCAACATATATACATTATAATTCATGTTTTTATTCTCATTTTCGTTCATTGTCACGTGAAATAGCAGAAAACCGTGAACAGTGTGAACTGTGAGTCAAAAAAAGCGGACGAAGGATGAAGTAGAAAAAGAAAGACGATGCAACGTCACAATTGCCACAAATCGTCACAAGAACAAATTGTGTAAGAAATAAATTTTTTTTATTATATCAATTTCTGTATACTATTTTTCACAATATCGTGTGTTTTATACTATTTCATTAAGATATACACATAGTTTTAAGTAATTTTTTCGATATATTTTTTTCAAGATTTAACAAATCTTTGACCAGTATATAATAGTTTTCGACAGTTATGTAACTGAAACGAAATTATTTCTTATCTTTCAAACTGAAAAAATGCATCAAATTATCTTTATTATAAGTGGAGTTATGAACCGCCAAAAAGTTGCACGATGTGAATTCGTACCTGTTAGCCATGCTAAGTAAAGTATCACGAAACATGTGACCAACGAAGTGTTAATAAAAAAAGGAATCAAAAGATTAAATGAAAATTAACATTTTCCGATAGTAGTTATTACTCTTCTCAGTTATAAATATTTATAAATAAACATAATCTTTCAAATATATGTAGCTGCAGTGCTGAAGAGAACAAACTACCCAATCAATTTGAAATAATGATATCATCCTTCTTGTAAAGTAATAAAAGTTTTGACATCACAACTTGCATCTCTATTTCGCTATACTCTCATTAACCTTGAATTTCTTTATTTGTTATATTTAAAAATTTGAGAAGAATCCATATAATCGTTATCTACATTTTAATTTAAATAAAGCATGCAAGAATGATAATTTGAATCGACGTGGAGTGTCATGGGAAAATAAAATGGGTTAGGAAAATATAATCATAGATTATGACATTAGTGGGTGAAGCATTCGCTTTTAACTAATTATTATTTATTGCGCGAGCAATAAAATTTACTTACAACAATCCTGTTTGGGGTGACATCCAGGGGTCGTGCGCCAAGCACGGGAGTGGCGGGCGCGCTACCCCTTCGACAAGCCTTCTCATACGATGTATCTGAAACAGAATCGAACAACTCGCGTGAGCGTGCGCTTAGACGCTTAAACTCAATAATAGTAATTGGTGTGTCATGTTTCGTATACGCCCGCGGTGGTAATTCGGCTGCGCGCAACCGAAGTAAGCTGAAACCACGTTGCGGGGATGATTACATAGTCTGCGCCAATAATTAGTCCCACTGACTCTGTCGTTGGGCTGGTAACGCGATATATATTCGTTCAACCGACTCAAGAGCGCTTTACTGCATGAAGCTACAGTTAATTTTGGATGAACATAAAATCTCAAATAATTGAAATCAGAAATCAACCTCTAAACACTTAAATAAATCTAGAGTAACAGAAGATAGTCTATTTTATCATCTTTCGCTTCCATTCACTTTTCTTTAGATTTCAATTTATTATATTAGGTGTACAAATAAGTTTCCGCCGTTTGACAAAAGACGGCGCCACTAGCAAGCTATGGTTAAAATTGTCTGATGTAAAACATTATATCGTAAGGTTGGACATCTGTCAACAACATAACCTTGAAATACTAGCGATTTTGTATCAGCATCATATATTTTTTTTGTGCAAATATGCCGAGTTTTGAGCCGAATAAGCGTCATTTGCGGGAACTTTAATTTCTTCTTCTTCTTTAATTTGAAGAAATCTGCAGCTGAGGCTCATCGATTGCTTGTAGAAGCATATGGTGAGGCTGCCTTAAGTGAGAGAAGTTGTCGTGAATGGTTTCAAAAATTTAAGAACGGTGAATTTGACGTCGAAGACAAAAAACGTAGTGGAAGGCCGAAAGGGGACGAAGACGCGGAATTGGAAGCATTATTGAATGAAGATTCGTGCCAAACGCAAAAAGAACTTGCACTTACATTTTGACTTACATCAATAAAACATTATGTATCGTTCTTTCACAATAAATGCTTAATTTTTTTATAAAAAAATGGCGGAAACTTATTTGTACACCTAATATATTTTCACTTTCGCCATTCACTGAGCCATTGATTTAAGATAGTTAGTCCTTTCTTTTCTTTATTTACTATTTCTATAAAATTACTCTACAAAAAACTCTTTGTAGTTAATCCTCTACATACATTGTATCTGATATATTCTACATTGTGGAAGGATGTAAAAATAATTTGATTTACTATTTCAGAAATTATGAAATCAAATTTAGATTAATTTTTGTTAGACATGAAGTGAATATTCTCAAATTCTTTAAAAAATGATTTATTCATTATTAAATAAAATCTTTCAATTATACTTAAAACTGCTTTACTATATCATTGTAAATTAGGAGAAATGTGTTAGATTAGAGCTCAGCTTGCCTGAGCTTACCTAAAAATATAATTCATTCTTAATGGATTAAATAACAGCAGAATTCTTCTAAGAAGAAATATGTTAGTTATTAAAAATCTGATATTTTGCTTGTATTAACCACTTCAGATAAGTGTATTATAAATAAATGGTCGCGTACTTGAACCTTGACGTTCACGTTGCTCGCGTTTAGTCTTTTGCTCCAGAGAGGGGTTGCTCTAGGATAACAGAAATCGGTTGAGGGAGAAGAAAGCAGCCCTGTAATTAACGCCCTTACAAGAACTTGGGGTACCTTCTAAGCCTTTCTCCCGAGCTTCTCTGTTTACGGTCAGTGGTTTAAACGGTTACCTCGCACAAGAGTTTCGGATTACTTGTGATTCTATGTAAAGGGTTCTAGTACATTCTATGTACAGAGTGTTTCTCGCATTCGTGTTCTCAATCTTAATTAAAAACATTCTTTTTTAAATCTTAAAATTAGCCTTTTTAATTCATTTATAGTCAATCATTTGTCATACATGAATCGTCAAAGCGTCTATTACCAAATTATTATAAGGAAATAAGATAATTTTTATCTCCAGATAATTGAATATGGAAAAGATAATTAAACAAATTGCTCACTTAAATGCTAATAAATTTTATTACAAATAAATTGATAATTTTAGAGATATTATCCAAATAGTTAATATTGTATTAATTTGGTTTGGAAATCATTTAGTCAATCAGTTTTATGTTAAGTGATACTTTGTGTGCACATTTTTTTTACACAACTACGTTAGTGATAAACGAAAACATCAGCGATTGTACGTGTATGCATAAAAACATAGCAACATACGCTCGAATATACATATATCTAGTTATGTATACAATTACATAATTACAAGATAAGGTACAATCCAAATTAAAATGATGCGCATATTCAGCATATAATTAAAAATGGATACATTTTAAATATGCAAATGTTTTTTGCTTGGAAATTATGATAGTGGCTCATATGTAATATATATGTGATGTCACTGACAATGGAAATAGAATATCTTGGAGAATCGTGTGAAATGAAACCAGACCTGGTTTCTAGTTTCCATTGTCAAAACATGTAAATATAATATTTATATAATAGGAAAACACAGATTAAAATATCTTGTATGCATATAGTTACTAAAAATCACATTATCATATGATTTTATTTTTTTATCAGATTTCCAATAAAAACATTGTTTTTAAGATAAGAGCAAAAAACCAATTTTTTTTCAAGATACTCGAAATTTTTTTCGAATAAACTCGACAGCTACACAATTTTTTAACAGTACTTTATTAAAGTAAAACAACTATAAGCGAACAAAGATTGAATATGCCATAACTGATATATATATATATTACGCGTAATATATATATATATATGAAGCCTAGCTGTAAAATTTTAATGCGCATGTATCGCTCTTTTTACGATGCAACATAGAAGATAAAGATGTTCGGAAATAAATGCCTGGCCAATTGAAGCAATTCCGGTTAGGGCGTAAAAACATAAAAGCCGAATAAAGATGTTTCGCGTACTTATGAGTCTTGTCAAACACACTTAAAATTACTTAAAGGAAATTACTTAAAGGAAATTACTTAAAGGAAAGCTCACGTGTTATATATCTTTCGAACAAATTGTTTTCGCAAATAAATTATTTTGTATTGGATCACACGTAAAATTACGATAAGAGCTGAATCAAAAACATAATGATATTCCCACAATAATAAAATCGTGAAATTTTCAAGTATTTGAGCGAGAATTTTGGAAACTTTATATAGTTGTTCCTTTATTCTTTTCAATATCATGTGCAGTTATTATTTGCACTTATTATTTGCATATAACAGTTCTACAATTATACATTCTCTTCATTATATATTATTGTCAAACTGATCATATATAATTCATCACATTAGATGCCACTATTTTAGAATATGTAGGTCGTGTTATCTTTATTAATAGACAGATTGCGTCTTTATCGCGAAGTATTGACAAAACAAGACGGCCGACATAAGTATCGCTGGTCGTGCGAGGCGAATCCAGAATCAACTTTTTACGAGCATCGTAAAAGGCTCTCTGCTCCGGCATGCTACCTGCTAATTAATTTCTGGTTTGTACGGCTCATCGGCACAAAGAAAATGCCGCGGAAACTCACGATCGTGGTTTAGAGCGGCTTTATAATATTTCAAGGTTCCCAATAAATCAACATTTTTACTATACTACAGGTATTAGTTCATACGACACAATAATTACACAGATAAAATTATACGTTTCGTGCAGCTAACTTTTATTAAAGTTTTATAAAAATAAAATAAAATTTCGTTAAATAAAGTATAATAATAAAATATTTATTAAAGTAATTTCATTAAAATTAAATCAAATCGAGTTATTGAAGATGTAGTTAAAAATATAAATATCACACACTGAGAAAAAATGGTCTGGTTGGATTTAAATAGTAATTCTGAAAAATGGACAAATCAGAATTTTCTGGTTAAATCTATTAGAATTCTAGTTGAAATAACTAGAATTCTGATTAATATAATTGTTCTGGTAAAAATAAGAATTCTAGTAGATTTTACCAGAAATATTGTATCAAATAGAATTTCGGTTATTTCAATTAGAATCCTAATAAATTTAACCAGAAAATTCTGATTCGTCCATTTTCAATCGGAAATTTTTGTCAGTGCAATCGCAAAATTATTCTGCTCCAGTCGCCAGTGAATGTTAATTAAGCTCACGATGAAGCAATCTCTCCCTCTTTCTTTACCGATTTCGCCCTTTTTTCCTCGTGGCCTTGCAGCTGCACCGGTTGCATCGACCTGGTGCAGCATGGGGAGAAACGCCATCCTTTGTGTGCGCTCGAGTAGCCCGAGGAGGAGGCGACACAAAGAGAACTGGAATCGAAATCGAAATGCGGCGACGACGGAACGAAATCGAGCGTAATGGCAGGAGTGAATTTACTCTTCGCCTCGGCAATCCTTTCGCCTTTCGTCATTTAGCGCTAACAATCGCAGCGCAAGTCAACGGTTATTAATGATTGGGAAACGTGCGAGTCGGTTGTGCGAGTGAAAGCGAGTGATCGCGATCAACCTCGAAGTAGATCGATCTTAGACACATTTTTCGAGAGCATTGTGTTCTGGAACCTCGCCAGTCGAACTTCTTATCGAGAAACAGTCGAAATCGTGCGACTATTTTTCATAAGCGGGACCGTTTCAGTGATAAGGAGGGCGTGCACTGTCACAAAACGGCGACTTCATAATATATGGCTTGTAGAAAAGAGGCGTTTCAGCGCTCCGATCTGCCAGATTGGAGTAGATTGACCTTGCCAATCATTGTGGTAAAGATTTAATTATTGTAATCAGAATACTTACTTGTCGACTTTCAATAGGGTTAATAGCTGACATTAATTATTTATAATATACTGCCTGTATTAGAAGCATAAAATCATTTTTTTTATTGAAGACTGATCAATTCCACCATCTCCCTCCCCCCCCCCCCCCCCCCCCTCACCACCATTCCAACAAGAAGCATAATATAAAAGGAACGACCTGCAGGAACAGGATGAAGTGGACTGCAAGGTTCACGAAACGTTGGCATTCCAAGAATGGATCTGAACACGGAAAAAATCCGCGAAACACATAATCTTTATATAGAAAGCACCCTCAAGAATATTATAAAAT